CGATGAATATTTTTAGCACAAGTTTTATATAGATGTAGAATTTGAGGTGGGTGTGAAATTATAGCAAGGATTTCGGGTAGCAAGTGGTAGCAAAATGCTTCTTATTGGGTTAGATAATAGTTTCTTTTTCAATCTTTTTACTATTTTCTAATTTTAGAATAAGCTGGCAAAAGACCCGGCAGATCATTTTATGGTAAGCTTATTAGTACAGATATTAATGCTCACATGCAGGTTGCAACTCCTGCACTCCACATTAGATAAGAAACTTTAAATGAAACCTCTAGTCGTTTTCTATGATATTTTCGGCAATCGAGCAACGGGCATATCCACCCGCAACACCACAGGATTTACAAGTGCGTTGGCCTTTTGGGGGTTTGTATTCAGGAGATTATGGATTGTGGAAGGTAATCCTTCAGGATCCAAAGAGCAAGGATTGGGCCTCCAATAACCTGACTCAGACGGCACAACGCTGTGATTTTTTCACGAAGCGGCGGTTTTCAAGCTTTGGTATAACTCCGGTCAAGCCGACCCATTCGTGCCGAAGCTTGGCTCACCCAAACTAAAACTATTTTTTTCCTGTTTATTTTATTCACTTATTCTTAACTCGCTACCTACCTAGGTCTAAATTGTTTCCAAAAATTAACAGTTAATAGGTACTGTGCAAAGATTTTATATAAATTGTGAAGGTTTCAATGACAGTTAGATATAATGATGGCGGCGACCTCTGGCGGCGGAAGGAAGGACGGTGGGGCTACTTGATGGTGACAATGTCCGTTTGACAGTGTGCCTCAAGTCATAAGACTACACCATGAAGATGAAGAAAACCTAACATTATAACCTAAGATTTAACTCAAATTAATGTACTTACCTACAAATTAATTGTATTTTTTGAGAAAAACTGAAATCAAAGTTTTACTTGTGATTGTTTAATTAATTCATACTTAAGTACTAATTCTCTAAATATCCTGCATCCTCAAAATGCTTAAATCTCCTAACCCCAAATGTACAACCATACACTTTTATATCCCTTTAAATATTCATGGAGCCCAAATTGTTTACCATCGGGTGATTTGTTTATTCATCTGAGGCATGCTGTTATATTCGAATTTAATATAATATTTACATAATATAAGATTTACTTAATAATTAATTTATTCTTTTCTTCTAGTGCTAGGTATTTATTATTTTTAGGCAAATTTTATTGTCAGCTCTATCAAATCGCACTCACTTATGACTTGACTGTGCAAGTTCCTCACATGTCGAAATACTTCGCTTTGACAGTCCCACTTCCATCTAATTGCTGCATTTCCTACCTTCTCATTAGTGGCACGACAATGCGAACCTTATTAAGGGAAATTATTACTTAGTAAACAACACCTGAATGGGACCTTGCATTTTTGGATAAATTAATTTTGGACCTCGTTGACGTCTACTCACTGATGTCTAATGCATTTTTGCGCTTACCCCGCAACCCAATGTCTAATCCATGTAGTGTTGATAACTATACCTGCTTATAAACGTGATTATCATTATAGTCATTTAGATAACAAAATCTTTAATTTTTTTTATGGTATAAGTCGGCAAACGACCTTACTCATTACCTGATGGTACGCAATCAGCGCCGCCCATGGACACCCGCAACACCAAAGGAGTTACGAGTGCGTTGCCGGCCTTATGGGGATAGAGGTAGGGGATATAAGGATCGGGAAGGGATAGGGAATGGGGAGGGATTGGACCTCCGGTAACCTCACTCACACGGCGAAACACAACGCTGTGAATTATGTTATTTACACAATAAGTCCAGAAGCCTTACACCTGATGTTTTCATCTTTCGGGTATTTAGAACTAGGCTGTTGATGATGCTACAAGTGTAGATCGTAATTATGGTAAGTCGAATGGGGACTCTATTCCTCTCTTCACAATGTTTTCAGAACATCTAGTTGGATTTTTCTTCTCGGATTTTAGGGTAAATAAAATTTATACTAATATCTTGCTGGAAGTTATCTTACTGAACAAAAGTTTATCTCTTAAAGAATTTTCCCGAACCATAAAATATGTTAAACCGGAATGTTTTTCATTTCCTTTTGTTTTATATTTCCCAGGCTTATCTTTAAGGTTAATTAATGAGCATGTCAATGGTAAAAATCACTATTCTACTAACCCTTAATAGCATGTTTATTTGAACAAAAAATAAAATTGGAGTATTTTGTGTTAATAACTTTATTACGTTGAAAATTCACATGAATAAATCAATAAAAACCCATCTACAATTATGTGAAAGATGTAATCATTACAATAAAGATGTAATCATTGGAATAAAAATATTTTCATGTTATTTTACATGAAGTTTAAGAACACATAAATCAATGGAGTCATCAAAGATGAATGACGGAAAGGACTAAAACTATAACTAGCTAGAAATAATTACGTAGATATAGTCAAATTGTTTCAATTTCTTAACTTTTAATAGTATAAGGTGGATTCATCAGCAAATAGTCCTGATTGCGAATAAAGTGTACAAAGTAAATGCATCAAATAAAAACACTTATTCATGTAAATACCCGTACAGTAAGCGTAGGCGTCGCGCAGGGTGGTCGGGTGACTTGGTGAAGGTCGAGAGAATTCAATGCAAGCAAAAAATATAAGCAGAAGAATAATTTATAATGTTGACTCTCTTGGATGCTGCCTATTTATAATTTGTAGAATGAATTTAAATAATATTAATAAATAAAAATTTAATTATACTATTTAAGCTAGGTGTGTTCTAGATCTCTCTACTATCAAAAACTATCAAATCCAAAACGAGCTGACTAGACAGAATGGCGGTATCAGCTATGTGGTTATTAAGGGTTGATTGCTAAGTAGCAGAAAATCCAATGAAAGAAGGAATGGAAACAGGCTTATTATGATCCCGGTCATGGTGAGTTACAAGCAAAAGAATATCAAGCAAGAAGTAGGTAACTTTAACAATATTTCAAACATTACATATATACTTTTACACCCAGTCTAAATCCAAAGAACCAAATTCGTAATGATGAAAATTGGTACCCGTCTAATAGCATAACACGCCTCATTTTTATCAGTTACTAAGATAACTGACAAAATTAGTTGCTAGAACCTACTCGGACATAATAAGTAGCTATATAATTTAATTTCCTTTAATTTATTTTTTGTGGGATTGAAGGTATCTTATGTAACAGTAATTTAACGCCCTAAGCGTTACATTCGATTCTTCATGTCATTTTAAATTGTTTACGCTTTTTTTTGTTGACTAAGATGGTCTCACCAAATGACGTGAAATCATGAATGAAGAATCTTTCCAACACCTGAAGTAATAACTCCTTGAAGTGATAAATAGAGAAGCTAATAGTTACTATAACTAAGTCTAACAGACATAAGATGTGAATCCAGGTTTTATGTTCAAGAAATGTCAAAAATATTTAAAATTATTTTCGCGTCCAATCTCCTACTCATGTGTAGGATACACGTTAGATGCAAAACAATAAATACTAATTAAGTTGTCAGTCAATGAAGGTAACAATTATAATGATCATTCAATTTTCCACTCAAGTGATCTGTGAAGTCAATGACTGCTACTGAACAGTATTAGGGATTTATAATCAACATATTAATGCGAACTGCTGTAAATGATAAGTGTGAAAGAGCCATGCTTTGGCACGAATGGGTCGGCACGACCAAAGTGATACCCTGGCCTCACAGAAAACCGGCGTGAAACAACCACAGAGTTGTGTTTCGCCGTGTGAGTGAGATAACCGGAGGCCCAATTTTTCCCTCCCAATCATCAAATCTCCAAATCCCTAAACCCAAAACGGTCGGCAACGCACTCGTTACTCCTGTTACGGGTGTCCGTGGGCGGCGCTGATTGCTTACCATCAGGTAATTCACCTGCCAGTTTGCCGATTTATCACATAAAAAAAATGATATCTTGTATGTACGTTTTTATATTTCTTAACATTACACAATGCAATTCAGCTCTAATTTAGGACATGAGATGGATAATAATTAATTGAAGAGAAGCCACAAGTGTTATACCTATTTAATATGTGCACCGCTATCTGTATATTTGAGGAATTGGATGTTATGTTATATATGAAAATGTATAGCTAATGGTAAAATGTAAACTGGTGAAAGAACATGATAATTGATTTTACGTTAAGTAAAGCCTTTACCTAATGGTGTACACCGATGAATGAAGGTTTTTCTATGGTAAAAGTAGCAGGTTCACTTCAAAACTTGTTCACTCAGCATCATGTCTCTTCTTACTAACTTCAGTTATTCTATCACCAAACTTCTTTATTCATAGGCATGCAAGTAGAAAAGATTGCAACTGATTTTGATAAATTATAATGAAAATGTTCGTTAATATGCTTAAGGCTGATTTATACAAAAGTTCTAGTTATTTTAAGAACATCGTGGATATCAACGGGTTCTACCTGTTGGCTATATTGAGCGGACATTGCACATCCTATACATTAATTAGTCGTCCTTCCAGAGCTGCAGCTGACGTCGTCTGATTTAAATAATACAAAAATAAATAAGTCATTTATTTATTTATTTTTTATTTTACATTTTAATCCACGAATTTCTCATTGATGGAGACATCCCTTTTAACGTAAGTGCAACAAATACAGAATAGTTTAAATCTAATTATTATTATTCTGTCCAGCCTTTAGAGATAATGTTCTAATAATTAAAAAAAATGCTTTAAAAACTTTAACTTTCACGTTAAATGAAACAACAAAAAATACAATATTATAGGTCCCTAAAAAAATAATCCCTTCCCTACATGTCGATAAATACCCTCTAAAGGTTTTTAGAGTTTCCTCCACTGAAAATATAGGCCACGATAGCCAGTTACCTCAAATCCCAAAGCTAAGGTCATTGGCAGCACAATAGTCGTATGGAAGCGACCATCCGTGTAGCTAGGACGCGGCTTCGATATAAAACAGCGCGTAGGGCGTCAACAGTCAGTGTTGTATCAACATCATCCAGGCACCATGGCTTGCAAAGTAAGTGAATTTTTACTTATTGTGGTGTTTTCAAGTGTAGTGAATTTTTGGTAATTTTTTAATCAAATATCGCGGTTTAGGTATCAACGGGTTAGATAATATTAAATAATTATTGATTTTAGTAGTGATTTTTGGTAAGGGTGGTTCTCTCCGACAAATTTCCTTGTAAAGGTTTTTAAATTTACCGAAAAATTTTGCAACTATTACAAAACTACAAAAATAGTATTCAGCAAAATCATCACTTTGCAAAATTATTTCAATATGAAGAAATGAACTAACAAAATTTTTGTATTTCAATAAAATTATATATAACCTCTTATAATTATTTTCCATACAACTAAGTAATTTTCTTTTTCGTAGGCTCTTTATTCTTTTTCAGATAAAATAATTTCTTTTATTGTTTTTTAAGTAAATAATTGGCTACAAAGTATTTCATAATGTACGTTTAGTCTTAATTAACGGACACTACATATCCGTGGGAAGTGGTATTGTTAGATCGTGAGATATGAGTGTTTGTCTGTCTGTGCATTGTCATAGGGATATGTGGTAGGTATTAGGTACTGTGGTGTAGGTAATTGAAATGTTCTTGTGTTTGCTTTACCTAATAATTGTATTGTGTCGTATATTAGGATTTACGTATTGTTGTAGTCGTTGGGTAATATCAATTAGAATTTACTATTGTCTCTCAATTTATAGTATAGTATAGTTATTATTATTATCACCGTATCCAATTAAAGACTTACTTAAATATGAATTAGTAAATAGTAATTTACTTGTTACTTGATTTTTTTTCCATACTGACTTAGACTTATTTATTTTATGGGTCATCTAAAAATACCTACACTTTTATACTGGTGCGTTTGCTCAAAACTATTATTATTTCAGATCGCTTTCTTCACCGCCGCCCTCTTCCTCATCCTCGCGCTGTCTCAGGCGGCGCCTGCTGAAGAAAAACCAGTAGAAACCTTAAATGTCGAAGCTGAGAAGGATGATTTAGAAACTGCTGAAAAAGATGACCTTAAAACTGCAGCCTCACATTGGGGCGGACATTGGGGTGGTTATGGCGGACATTACGGACACTGGGGTTACCCATCCTACTATGGCTATGGTTGGGGCTACCCTAGCTACGGTTACGGCTACTGGCCCTACGGTGGTATCTACGGCCACGGATATGGCGGCTATGGCCATTACGGTTGGTGGTAGGACAATTTTACATAGATATCGATTCTAATGCCAGTATTAACTATAAGGAAAACGTTCGAAATGCGAGTAACTAAGTTGAGATTGATAGATTTATTTCAGAAAATAATATTACATGTATACCTATATATCTAATTTTTAAAGATATTTGTAATGTACCACACTCGATATTTCTGTACACTGTGTATTCTTATTTTTCTTTGTTTAACAGAGGTACCATCGAACTTTATGAGTCGTGTGTGGGCAATCTCATAACTTGCCGGTAAATGTGTATATTACTATGTTAAGGTTTATCTATAATAGCTTTTACTGACAATGTTTTGTGAATTTTATTTTCGTTATTTCTTATTTATATATTCATTAAAGTGAACCAATTACAATAACAACAATTGAATTGTGCAACTTCAAGTTGTGTCGAATTTTCTTTTGAAACCAAAGAATTATACTCAGTATATACTTATGTAATTAAACTATGTAATTTGCTGAACACGTTCATCTTTATCTGAGTACATATAAAATATACAGTTACGATTTTTTATGACTATGTATACATACGTTAACAGTTAATCTATTTGGATATTCCGCTGGTGTATGTAGGGACAGTTGGTATGGTAACACAATTGTTTTGATTTTACCGTTTTGCACCTCATGGTGATATTGTTTGCAAATCATGTTAAATATATTTTACATCTATATTTACTAGTTATGTATGTAATAAAGAACATATATTTTTTTATAATATAAGAAAAAAAAATTCGCGAATGTGTCGTAGAATTAAATTTATATAAGGGCGTTATTTCACTGCCTTAAATTTTAATGTATAATGTATAAATAGTTATAAAATATACAGTATATTTATTAAACGACGATTGATGATATTTTGTTTTTTTTTGCACATCGTGATAACTCGTCCAATAAAAGATTACATCTTTTAAAAACAATATCTGAAAAGTCAATTATCTAAACGATAAATGTACAGAGAAAGATTCTTACGTATATAATATTTGTTTAGGTGTAAATTGTTCAAAAAAGTATAATTTGTCAATTTTTTTCATTTACAACTTAATCAATTTAATTAAAAAACTGAAGAAATCAAGGAATATTGAATTATAAAAGAAAACAACAACTGATACTTTTACACCCAAAAACCTTTTTTATCCCATGTAAAAATTATTCCTTGATAAATATGAAAGTCATTCATATTCAGGCAGTGCTTGGCATAGCAATGAATCAATGAACAATAATTCCATCATCGTACTTTTGGTGAATATTATGTCATTGCTGAGAGATGTATGGAGCTGTTGGGAAATACCATTAAATGTCTTATATGACCTGTATAATGATAATATCAGTTCTTGTTTACTGTAGCAGTTGTGAAATCTTTCGATCCTGTCCACTTTAATGTTAGTCCAACATAAAAGTAAAAAAGAGCAAAAGTAGATTAAAATCATTTCGATTAGTTAGCTTAGGTATTTAAGAAAAGTCTAGACGCTGCTCATGAGTAAGATAGCGTTTTGAATAGAAACTAGTAGATTTTCAGTTAATTCATTTGAGTAAGTCGTTAATTTCAAGAAAATTAAATACTTAATAAACTATTTAATATTATACTAACTTTTCGTTTCATAACTCCTAAGCCGCTAGTTCGTAGGGGTGGTCGTTTCTGCGTTTATTTTAGTTATATATTTCAGTCGGTATAAAGTTATAGGAATAAGCGTCGCTCACCCCACAAAATGTAACCAAAGTGTTGTATCACAACAATTTTCTGACTACGACCGTAAACATTATTCGTATTTCAGATAAAGAGTTGTTTACATTTAAAATACACAAATCCATAACAATACGAAAATCGCTATTCCTATTTTAATATTTTGTCTATATTGTTTAATCTACTAGGAATCAAAACCCTACACCCCTTGCTTAACAGTTGCACAGCAGCACCAATTCAACCGTGTTATCATGCAAAAGACATCAACGAGCTCAGTTCGTTGAAGTCTTTTATACTGGCAAAATTGAATCTGATACGCAAACTTGACTAGCCTGCCATCTAGTGGTTATTTTCCGAATCAAGGTATTGCTAACGTACTTTGGTCGATCGTAGGCCAACTGTAAGTTACTTTATAAAGCCTTGTAAAGCTAGACGCTGTGGCAGTAATATTGTAAAAGTATTTGAGTGTTTCTAGTAGAGGGCGCTACTTGTATTTCTATGGGGCACATAATGTGTACAGGAACTTTATCATTTTAACAGATATTATAACCGATGTATTTGACAATCATTGTAAAAATATATTTGTTCATGAGTAAGAATTGTGTACATATTACATATTTAAAATAGTTAATTTTAATATCTAATTATTAATTTAAACAGATTTAAAAAAAAATCGAAAAGAAAATGAATACAAGAAAAATAAAATAAATGTTTTTGTTGAATTAATTTTAATTTCACACATATGCTTTCTTATTTACAAAAACGATTTTTCTAAAATTACTTATACCATTTATGTAACAAATAATTCTACAAACTATGCAAAAATATTAAAATTATATAAATATAAGTCCGCTTTTGTGCAACGTTTTGTGCATGAAGTTTTAAATAAATAAATAAAAATGCCACCTTGAATGCATCAACCAAACCTCAAATCAAACAATATCGACTCAGCCATTCAATTGAGTAAAGAGTCAAAATATTTTGACATTAAAAACTGCATTCTCATTTCCTCAACATAAAGTTGCATTATAGAGAAGCAATAGCAACAAGAGTATAAAAACCTTTTTTAATCAGCTTCAGAAAACGGTTGCCTGTTTGATCAAGTAGTCGGCAACATTATTCAGGTTGATTTCAGTGTTTGGTATAATGTTATTCTACTTCTTCTCTGCTTTTTAGGAAAACTTAAGACATTAATAAGATATCCGAAACCCTATTTACCAAAAGGTTGGTAACGCATGTCGTGGTGGCCCGGAGGTTAAGGAGCCCGCTTCTCATGCAAGAGAGTGTGGGTTCAAAACCTGGCAAGTACCAATGTGACTTTTTCCGAGTTATATGTACTTTCTATGATTATTTAGACACCACTGGCATACGTTGAAGGTAAAAATCGTGAGGAAACCTGGACTTATAAAATTTTCTAATATAAGTTTGAAATCGCCAACCTGCATTGAGCAAGCGTCGTGATTAATGCTTTAACCTTCTCCGTATGAGAAGATGCCTTTGCTCAGCAGTGGGCACTTATAGGATGATGATGATAATGCTAACGCACTCGTCACTCTTTTGGTGTATATGGACAGCCTCATAGGGGCGCCGATGGCTTGCTGTCAGGTAATCCGTCCGCCCAACTGCTGACCTATCTCTTAAATAAAATAAGTTCAATTAAAATTAATCAATTTACAATGTACATCTTAAATTACTTATTAAGTACCTGCTCGCTAATAAGCAAGGACTTTTAAGTGGGTGGTATTAAGCTCATCCCCAATAAAAAGGGATTCAAAGCATCACTAACACAACTGTACTTTAAAGTACAGTTGTGTTAGTGATGTTAGTGATGTTTGGTTGGTGTTTGAAATTTGGTACTAGTTTAGAACTCGAGAAAGGACATAGGTTAGTTTTCAAACCAAAAATCTGAAGTCACTATTCCGAGCGAACAAAGTCGCGGGCAAAAGCTAGTAATGTACATAATGTAGGATAAGTAAGATAGTACATCTTATTATATCTTCTGATTATCTTTTCAAGGATTAAATAGCGTTATATTATATATAATATATTTAAAAAAGATCTCTTAATTAAAATACATGATTAGTAGAAGAATAAACATAATATGTCGTATATCATATAAAGGTGAACAAGTTCATAATGTTTTTATATACATATATAAACACAATGATCTATATTAAAACGCAGCTTCCTTTAATATTAAATAATGTTTACCTCATTTAAATACTTTGAGATATATTCATTGATTTTGACATTGAAAATATAGTATGTCTGTTATATTTATGTTTCTGTATGACGTTGTGGAGTTTTGTTTTATAAAAAAATAAGTTTTTTTTTATGGAATAAGTCAGCAAACTAGCAGACGGATTACCTGATGGTAAGCAATCAGCGCCGCCCATGGAAGCCCGAAACCACAAAGGAGTTAAGAGTGCGTTGCCGGCTTTTTGGGGATAAGGGTTGTAGATATAGGGATTAGGGAGGGATAGGGATAGGGAAGGGATTGGGTCTCCGGTAACCTCACTCACATGGCGAAACACAACGCTGTAGTTGTTTCATGCCGGTATTCTATAAGGCCGTGGTATCACTCCGGTCGAGTCAACCATTCGTGCTAAAGCTTGGCTATCCCACATTTAATTAATTAATAGTAAGATTAATTTTGGTTGTAGCATAGTAGTACTATTTCAGTGTAAAGGAGTTTCAAGCTATAGTTCTAGGGCAGGACAGAATATATTGCGGTCTCATAGAAACACCATCATAAAACAAGCGTTTTGACGATAGTGTCAACAACTCTTCATTCTCAATTACCGCCAATAATTTTTCCTTAAATCCCGAAACTACGGGAATTACGTTGATTCGATTTAATTTCTTTCGATTTTGGTGTTACGCAGTAAATTACTAAGAAATTATCTATCGGCTCCTTTGCTTCCCTATTCCAAAATCAGAAACAAACTCTACTTATTTACACTACAGTGTGTTCAATGTTTTTTTTTCTATAATTTTATTTTTATTTAATTTCTAAATCATCTCATGTTTTTGCCTTATCTACGATATGTCTGCTGTTACGTAGTACATTTTATTTTAGCCACATAATTATTTGAAATAAAAATTGTCTGTTTAGAAGTACCTCTGTAATTTTGGATTTCGTTTGACGTAAGAATTGTGCTTTTTAAGACTTATAATCTTCTTAATTATTTCCAAAAATCTCTTTGCTAAGTTCTTTTATATGTATTATATGTATGTGTATCTTTTGTGTGAATTGTAAATTTAGATTCAGACAGACACAAGACTTGGCGGAATATTACATAATATGCGTAGAGCCTTCTTCGGAGTAATATAATGACAAATGGATTTTCTTTTATTACCTTTTTTGTTGGAGCTTAACTTTTTTATTTACATAAAAAGTCCACTTGTTTCATTATTTTTAAAAGTTAAAGTTTAGCTTCTGCGAACTGAATATAACATTCATTGTATACACACATTCATAGAATTTGTTAATTAGCTTCAGAGCGAAGATTGGATTTTCCGACGAACAAAACTAGTTTCCTCAGTTCACTTGGAAGCTACCTATATAGTAATAATGAAATCAAAACCTTTGTTTGAAAAGGGATATTCATAAAATGACTTCTATTGCCCAGAGCAGGGCAAGAGGAAGTATTAGACTCTTACTCAG